TTTATAATCTACAAAATTTCTAGGAATTTAAAGCATTGCAAAATATAGTGCTCACTTTTAAAACCCTAAAAAGTGGGATGAGGATAGTAGGGGAAGGCAATCGCCTAAATGAGCCGACTTTTTAGTTTGGGTCAGGTTCCAAGGTGGACCGTCTGAGTAGCTGAGGTGGAGATGTGGGATCACTACCCTGGGTTAGTTGCAACAACGAACTTCAGGGACGAAGTCTGATTTTAGTGGGGAAAATTGTAACATCCTGATGTCAAGTAATTTCAACATCGACACTATGTTTCAATAATGTTATATTTTATCCCTTGGAATTGGAAAAGATTGCATGTGTGGGCCTTAGTGGCATTATAGTAATTTTGTGTGGTGGATTAGTACGTTGGGTGTACGAAGCGTATGCTAAGAATACTAGGGCGAACCTTAGTACGTTGGGCGTACACCTCGTACGCAGGTCGTACACGCAGGATGTCCAAACCCTAATTTTTAGGGTTTTGGCCCTATATAAATGTCATTATAACCTCATGTCCCCTTCCTTCCTCAGCCTCCTTTTGTGAGATCGACCCTAAGCAAACCCTAAGTGAAAGAGTGCCTTTTTTAGGCCCATTTGGGCGGTTAGAAGTGTTCTTGAAGGAGAATAATGTGGTGTGAAGAGCTTGGAATTTGGAATCACTTTAGATCTGCGATTCCTTCCTGAATAGCAACCTTCATAAGGTAAAAAGTTAGCAACTTGATCACTTCATCTTGTAGATCTAGAATTTTGCTCTTTTAAGACACTTTTTGGTCCCAAAGTGGTGATTCTTAAGCATGGCCTATTCTTGACCCAATAAGTCGTCCTTTCAGACCTTGGGAAGGGTCTTGAGTCATAAAAATGGAGTCTTAATGGTTGGTCTTTCTCCATGCATGCTTTAGAAGGTCTTAATGTTTTAAGATGTTGAATCACTTAATAGACATGAAAAATCATAAAGTTGGAAACTTTATGACTCTTGAGGATGATTTCACCTTGGATCTGAAAATTAGACATAACAGCTTAAGGCATTAGGCTGTTAATGAAGTTTGGGAAGTCTGGGCGTACGCCCTGCGTAACTTGAGTACGTAGCACGAACGAGGTCAACTCACCAATCTGCGGTCAATGTCGAAGTACGCCCGTGTACTCTTGGAGTACGCCCCGTGTACGTGCCATGGGTTTACTCGGCTGGGTTGACTCAGTTGACTTGTTGATTTTGAACCAGTTTTACTTTTAACTTTGACCAAGGTTAACCCAGTTTGACTTGAGGGTATTTTGGGTATTTCGGATTGTGTTTGAGAATTTGGTCATTTGGATGGATAGATGTCTGTCAGAGCTGAGATTCGGAGTCTGGACCTCATCAATTATTGTTCAGATTGGGATGCGAGTTTTCCTCATTGTACTTACGGGTCAAAGGCACCAAGGGCGACCCTTTGGATTGATATGTTAGATCTTTATCTTGGTATATACAATGTTGTTATGTTGTAGTGATATGTTAGATCTGTATCCTAGTATATATGATGTTGTTATTCTGTAGTGATCTGTTAAATCAGTATCCTGGTATATAGGATGTTAGCATGCGATAGTTGTCTGTAGATCTGCTTGTTTGTCTGATGCCTGGTTATATGTTTATCTGTTATGTGTATGTCGACATGTTGTGGTGGGTTGGGTTGAGGCGATCCTGCTTTGTGTTGAAGACCAAGATACCCAGGGCGGTCCGGATAGACTGTTGGCCCTGCAAGGCGGTCCAGTCAGGCCGAGGACCCAGCGAGCGATCTGGATAGGCTATAGGCCCTGTGAGGCGGTCCAGTCATGTCGAAGGCTCGAGAGCGTTCTAGATAGGTTGTAGGCCCTGCGAGGCGTTCCAATCAGGCTGAAGGCTCGGTTGTACATGTTGTTGTTGGATATGTTGTATGTGGTGGTACTTTGGGGGAACTCACTAAGCTTTGGCTTACGGTTTTTAGTTGTTGTTTCAAGTACTTTTGATGATCGCAGGAAGACGAAAGTGTGACCGTAGACATCCTAGGTTTTTATATTGAAGATCTTTGGAGACTCTGATTTTAAATATATTTTTGGAAACAATTATTTGTAAACATTTTCATTAGTAAAAGCGGTGTTTTAAAAAGTTTAAATTTGTTGTGATTTTTGGGATGTTACAGAAAGTTGAAGATTCTCAATTTGGTTACTCCAAATGGCATGATGCGCCACTATGGTGGAGGATACGCCATCATGATGTGCCATGGATACTTACGATGAATGATCTTTGTTCATGATGCTAGATCATGTGTTTTGATGATGCATATGCAGAGTATCTCAAGGATGAAGGTTCCAAAAGCGGCTGCACGGCGGAATATGATTGGTTGACACCTTTCATGGGCTTGGGCCATTAGGGTTTTAGGTATGATCCTTATTCTATAAATAGGGATATCGCCTAGTCATTTGAATATATCTTTTTGTATCCTTAGTGAGTAGGTTGAATCTATGTTGACTGTACTTGTAATCTCTGTTTGAGAACTTTGTAAATAAGATACTCCCTCCTACCCATGGCCTTAGCTCATTTTGACCGAACCACATAAATACTTTGTCTTTGTGTGCTTTTTAGATTCGTGTGTTATCTAGATTACTTCCTAACAAGGTTCATCGGATTTTGACAATTGGCATAAGATTTATTTTGATTCTTGACAAGTATCATCTGATTTCCTAACATACGGAACGAGGTTCTTTGCAGGAGTGTAAATACCAAGGAGTTGATTTTCTTAGTTGAAATTACATTGTTTCTCTTTTCCTAGATAAAGAAAAAGGAACTTTTCATTTGTTGGTGTTTGCATATAATATCTAATTGCTTTTGTTGTGCTGGTTTTTTAGCCTCATTCCTATTTTAATAATATACATCATTCTAAAAGAAATAATATATCATCGGTGCTCTCTTATTTTAAACTTTATAATTAAAATTTAAGAAGCTTACTAGCTCCTACACTTCCCAAATCTCATATTCAAAAACAAGAAAATTCTTATCTTCATATTACACATTTAATTTCATCATAACTTGTTATTAATAATATCATTATGATTGCTTTTGTATAACCATGATGGATCGTGAATAAGAAAAGAATCATTTATTCTTTTTTTAAAGAAAAAGAAGATGTTTATAATCCACAACTACATCATGTTATCGATAATAATAGGTAGATGTTCATACTACACCTACAACTTAAAAGGAATACTTATATCGAAAAAACTAATTAATGTTGAGCTTAGAAAAAAATGATGTGAAATTAAGTGAAATAAAATTAGATTTTTTAATTCAATGTTGTAAAAATCATTAGATTTTATTAAGTCGGTCTACTATTGACTAGAGTTTAGTCGTTCTAGTCGTGGATTAGTCGGCGACTTCAGCCACTAATCGGAGATCCTAAATTGTAAATCATTTAACATTTAATAAAATAAATGTGACTAATATCATAAATAGTAAGTAAATACTACTAATATCATGAAAAAAGTAAGTTAATACGACTAATACAACACCAATTCTTCTTCAAATAGTTAATATTAAGATAGAACTTCTATAAGGTGTTCAATATTTATCGGCTTCGACAATTTTAGTAATTGTCTATTCATGAATTAATCACTACGTGTCTCCTAGACGGTCGTATACCACATAGGTATTAATCAGAAATTAAGTGGGGACTAGTAGTCTTGTTTAGATTTTTACAATATTGTTTTCATTTATTGTTGATGAAAAATAACTTCGATATTAAGTTATCCAAGTCACCAACATGATAAAATTAGACGATAATATATAAAACAAGTATCGTATTGAGCAATTACACTCGCTTAACTCGTTGATGATATATTATAAGTTTATTTTAATAATATCTATCATTCTAAAAAAATATATATATATCATCGGTGCTATCTGATTTTAAACTCTATAAGTAAAATTTAAGAAGCTTACTAGCTCCTTTCACTTCCCAAATCTCATATTCAAGAACAAGAAAATTCTTAACTTCTTATTACACATTTAATTTCTCTATAACTGGTCATTATGATTACTTTCGTATAATCAAGATGAATCATGGATAAGAAAATAACCATTTAATCTTTTTGCAAAGAAAAACAAGATGCTTATAGTCCACAACTACTACATCATGTTATCGATAATAATAGGTAGATGTTCATATTACACCTACAACTTGAAAGGAATACTTATATCGAAAAACCAATTAAGGTTGAACTTAGAAAAAAATTGATATGAAATTTAAGTGAGATAAAATTAGATTGTTTAATTCAATGTTGTAAAAATCATTAGATGGTATTAAGTCGGTCTACTAGTGACTAGAGTTTAGTCGTTCTAATCGTGGATTAGTCTGCGACTTCGGCCACTAATCGGAGACCCTAAATTGTAAATCATTTAACATTTAATAAAATAAATATGACTAATATCATAAACAGGAAGTAAATACTACTAATATCATGAAAAAAGTAAGTTAATACGACTAATAAAACACCAATCTTTCTTCAAATAGTTAATATTAAGATAGAACTTTTTTAAGGTGTTTAATATTTATCGGTTTCGACCATTTTAGTAATTGTGTATTCATGAATTAATCACTACGTGTCTCCTGGACGTTCATATACCACATAGAGATTAATCAGAAATTAAGTGGGAACTTGTAGTCTTGTTTAGATTTTTACAATACTATTTTGATTTATTGTTGATGAAAAATAACTTCGATATTAAGTTATCCAAATCACCAATATGATAAAATTAGACGATAATATATAAAACAAGTATCGTATTGAGCAATTAAACTCGCTTAACTCGTTGATGATATATTATAAGTTTATAACCCAAATCAATCAATTATAAGTAAATGGGTTAAAATTCTCACTTTTCTCTTTGTGGCCTTTTTATTAACCTACATTACGTCAATTTTCGAAGAAAAAAAAGTTATTTGAATCCTATTATTTTGTTTTCCTCCATGAGCCTAATTCAAACACCAAGAAGCTGCTCCACATTCATGGGAATCATATATTGTTGCGATCCACTATACAAAATGTCTGTAAACATGCTGGAAACTGCTTCTGTAGGATGATAAAGATCCCAAAACACATGGCTTCTTCTGTTCAAGCAATAACTCGATAAGGGAATGCACGGCACATCCGCATTTAGGTTCCCGAACCCGCAACAAGCCTTTTTTATCTCCGTAAACCCTAAAATCATACGTGCATCGTGAGCATAAATTAACATTTTCAGTTTCTACCTTTTGCAAGAGAAGTTATTGTTTTTTTCAAAGTTTTGAAAACTGAACCGGAGACCGAACTGGTCGTCTTACTAGTTCGATGGTTCAAGTGGTCCAACCGGTCGGACCTGTCTCAAAAACCGGAAAAACCGGATGATGTGATAATTATATTTAATTATATTAAAAATACCAAAAATGAAAAAATATATATATTTTTTAAAATAACCGGTTTTACCGGTTTAACCAGACCAGTTTTTACCGGTTCAGCCGGTTTTTACCGATTTTCATCGGTTCACATGAATACCGGTTTTTTAGCCTTTAAGAACCGGTTCCGGCCGGTCCTGTCCGGTTTTCAAAACATGAGTTTTTTTATATTGTAGCAAAAAGGTAGAAGTGTACACTTGCATGACTCAAATATACTATTATGGTCAAAGTCGGTTAAGAAAAGCCGGTTCCGGTTCCGGTTCCGGACCGAACTTTTTTGGTAAGGACCAGCTACAACTTTGACAATAAAGGTCAAATAATGGGTTCATCACTTATATATAGTACCATAAGTTTCGGGCTCCTGAAATAGGTTGACCATGACATTATATATATCAAAGTAAGCATAGTTCATGCCCAATTCAGATTTCATCTCTTGTAACATTGTTTTCAGCCCATCATTGTACTTGACCGACCAGTAATTTAGCCCTACATTGCAACCACCAGTTTTGTTTTGCTTTCTTTGAATTGGAGAACAACCTATTGCCCCAACTCCGGTCACCAAAACTTTTCGTGCACCCAATTCATATAACATCTGTATTCAATACACTTTCAATTAAACCAAAAGGGTCAATTAGCCTTAACTTATTTTACCAAAATTTGGTACCTTTAGTAGACCTTTGAAGGTGGACACCATAAGATCCAAATATTGTTGTGGAGTGTACTTGATAGAGACTGTGGAACTCGTTTTAAAGTAGGCAAAAAGATCGTTGCTTCCAATAACAATGGCGAATAATGATTTTGATAGGTGCACCTGGGCTCCAGATGGTCCGAGTCGTCTGACCAGATGGTCATTGACCAATGAGAAGTATTCTACTTGTTGAGCAAATGAAATCGATTGTTTCTGTAGTAAGATTATAAAATAAACTACGTTAATGACTAAATCACAAAGCGGAGATAGCTCAGTTGGGAGAGCGTCAGACTGAAGATCTGAAGGTCACGTGTTCGATCCACGTTCACCGCATTTATTTATTTTTTCATTTTTTGTCAATGTGTTCTTACAAATTTTTCGCCGGTGCTGTTCAGGACTCCACATCCTCCAGATGCAAAGCTGACTCCGGTTATCGGAAGTGTAGCATCTCCGATCAATGATAAATATGGTGGCGATGTTGGTAACCCCATCTTTTTCGCTGCAAGAATCAAGATACAGTTACAATATTACTATACATTTACTGCATATAATCAATCAAGAAGTGACCAGATAAACCCCACGTACCAAGAAAGTCAGCAGCATTCATTCCGTTTGAGAATCTGCCGGTGGGTTTTCCATCGACAAAATCAATGCCGTTGTGAGGGAAATCAGCTTTGGCGATTGAAAGTGGCAGGTGGTTATTGTTTCCGACGTCCACCAACGAGTCCCCGAACATGTAAACCGCCGGTGCAGCTGCCTGAGCTTTACATACACTGATTCTTAGCCCAATAAACACCAGAAAACACACCAAGAATGCCGTCACTTCGCCGTTGACGGAAGTAGCAACAACCATGATGTGTTAATTTGTGCTTGGAAAAGTGGGAGACTGGTGGGGTTTATAAACGAGGTCAAGAGTCGGCGGCGTGAACGATCGGAAGGTTCATAACGTGATCCCATGTTTGAGTGTGCGTGCAGGCTCTCGGTTTGTGGTATGGGTGGTGCAACGGTGTAAACCGTATACTTAGGGATAATATTTTTTAATTTGGTATACATTGGAAAAATCTATTATGATATTGTGTAATTAATTATATACAATAGCTATTTTGATTTGTTAAAAAAACTCAATCATCTGGGTAATTGAAATTGTAAATATATGATATAGTTTTACCATTTTAGTGATATTTAATTGGATTTGTTAAAATGTAATATAATTTAATCATTCTATAATTTAATGATTTGATATGAACAGATTTTTTTTATCAATTCATGCTAAAAAAAATAAAAAATATATTCTTAGATCTCTTTGGTTGGCAGGAATGGAATGAAAATTCAGGGAAAATGATTTTAATAATTCAATTCCCTCGAATTCTTGCGGATTATAGGGGTGTTTATCGGCTAATTTTTTCGGGTTTCGGGTAATTCGGGTTTTCATGTTAAAAAAATATCTGTTACCCAAACCAAATTAAATTCGGATTGGGTAATTCAGGTATCAGGTCGGGTTTGGGTGATTCAGGTATCAGGTCGGGTTTGGGTGATTCGGGTATTATCTGAAATATATAAAAAAAAATTGAATTTCACCTGAAAATAAATTTAATGAAATAAATACGTAGTGCTTTATTAGTCTTGTTTATATAAACAAACGAGACATAAACGAAGTTACTCAAACTTTGAACATTAAGATTTTTCAGTCAATAATACATAAGATATCAAGTAATTTTTTAACAATTTAATTTAATCCAATAAGATGTTAAAAAAATAAATACTTAAAGATCTTAATTTAAAATTTTTAAATGTTTAAGATAATTATAGTCATAAGTTTTGTCATATTCTGAAGTTTTGTTAAGATTATAAGTTTGTTGGTTGCAATAAAAACTATAATCTAGAAAACAGTTAAGTTTTAAAGAACATGATGATATATAAACAATTACTTTTAATATTGTTAGTGTCATATTGTCATAATAAAGAGATTCATGTTTTACAATAATAATAGTTACTTTAAGTGTGATCAAATAGCGACTATATAGTACAAGCTCTACAAAAAAAAAAAATTAAAATAATTCGGGTATACCCGAAACCCAAAAAAATATACCCTTTACCCGACCCAAAAAAAGTCTGGTCACCCGATTACCCAAAAAAATTTACCCGATACTCGAAAAAATCGGACGGGTAATTCGGGTATCGGGTATTTTCGATAGGGCTATTTGGTTCAACTTTAAAGAGGAGAAATGAATCTTAAATAGGAAAATATTCCTTTATAGGAAGGAAAATACTTTCCTTCAATTAAAGGATGGAATGAATTCCTTACTAACAAGGAAAGATAACGATTACCATTATACTCACGTATACAACCATATCTCACATATACAATCTCTTTGTCAAAATCATTCGACAAACCTCTTTTCATCAAAATCAGCCTCTTCTACGATTCTTTCGCCATGTAAGTGAATTGTTGTTGCCTCGATCTCATGCTTGCTATCTCTCACGCTCTTAATTTACTATCAAAATCGTTAGTTTCCTAAAACCGATTGATCTTCCTATTTATCGATTTTTTCCTGGTTATCTCAACCTCGTCTCCTGAAAACTGATTTTTCTTCCTGTTTTTCAGTTTCTGTTAGTTGAATGCTTGTTAAAACCGTTGTTGTTGTCTACATTCTGTCAAAATCGATGGTTTCTTAAAATCATTGTTACTGTTTATTGAATGCTTGTTAAAATTGATTTCTTAAACTCGTTGTTACTAGAATGGAATTTTGTCGATTTCTATTAATTGAATGATTGTTAAAATCCATTTCTCTTCTTGGTTGTCAATGTAACGCCCTGATTCTCAGGTATTGACTTATGATATAAGATCTTTTTGATTTTAAGGTCTACTCGACAAGTTGGTTGCCCGACTCGTCGAGTAGCAGCAGGTTAGTCCACATGTTTAAGTGACCTACTTGCCGAGTCCAAGTAGGGACTCGACGAGCAGAAGCTGGATGATGAAACCCTAATTCCCGGGGTTTTGCACCCTATTTAAAGGGTCATTGGCCTCCCCAACCTCCCCTCTACAGCCTCTTGACATTCCAAAACCCTAATTTGTGTGTGTGTATTCTTCATTAGTGTGTTTAAGCTTTGAAGAAGGATTTTGGTGAGAAAAGCTGAGGGAACAAGTGATTAGAAGCAAGGAACTCATGGGAATCAGATATCTACTTCAGTGGGCACCCTTTGGAAGGTATTAAGTCATCATCTTGACCTCATTCCATTCTAGACCTCTTTTGGGTGAATTTTTAGGGCTTTTCTAGCATATTAGGAAGCCTTTCTTATGTTTAAGCTAGATCTGAAGTTGCAACTTCAGATCTGAACTCCTTTGGATCTCTAAGTTCATAAAGCTTCCAGCTTTTGCATGAATGAGACTCTCCTAAGGTGAAAAACTCCATTGCAAGCTTGGATTTGTCATTTAAAGTCTCTAGAGCCTTGCATGCACGTAAAGTTTGCAACTTTACGTGATAACCATGCCTTACGGATTTGGCTTTGCAATATGGAACCTTAGCATGGCTTAAAAAGCATCTGTTTGGATGAACGACTGAAGGCACTCGGCGAGTTGCATGGTCAACTTGGCAAGTCCGATGAAGATTATAGTAGACTTGACGAGTCAGTAAAGTGACTCGGCGAGTCACCTAGGGTTTTCCCAATCTTTGGACACGCGTGAACTTGGCGAGTTGCAAGAGAAACTCGACGAGTTGGCCAACGGGTTCACGGCCACAAATATTAGGAACTCGATGAGTCACTCAAGTGACTTGGCGAGTTAATGAGTTATGCAAGGAGCTTGGCGAGTGGCTGGTTGTACTCGACGAGTTCAGGTCAACATGGACTGTTGACCTTGGCAGTTGACTTTGACTTTGACTTTTACCAAGGGTTGACTTTTTGACTTCTGGGGCATTTTGGGAATTTATGAACATGATTGTGTGGCGAATATAGGTGGTGGAGTTTGGAGCTGTGATCTGAGAGTTTGAGCTTATATTTCGAGTCGGCTGTTGCGATGTGAGTTATCCTCACTATACTAAGGGGTCTAAGGCACCAAGGCTGGCCCATTAGATACGATGTCCTAGCAGTTGGTAGTATGAGTTAGTGTTGCATGTTAGTTGCTATGCCAGTTAGGTAGATCTGTATGACTACCTGTAGTATCATGTGATTATTTGTATGTATATTAGTTATATTATATGTCAACATATTATGTGGGATGGGTTGAGGTGATACTGCTTCGTGCGGAAACCAACAAACCCAGGAGCATTCCAGATACAAGCTAGGGGAGACTCGTACTGTGGGCTCGATGGCAATCCAGATGTGAGTTGTGGGCCGGAAGGCAATCCACTCACACTGTGGGCAGAGAAGGTAATCCAGTCTGTAAATCTACGGACCCAGTATATGATGTTATTTGTATATGTATTATGTGCAGTGTATCGGTATTTTGGGGGAACTCACTAAGCTATTAGGCTTACAATTTCAGTTTATTGTTTCAGGTACATCAGGAGATCGCGGCAAGGGGAAGGCATGATCGTACAGCTCCTCATGTTTTGTTTATGTTTCTGGGAAAAATTTTGATATAGACTATTTTGAAAATAAATCTGTAATAACTGTTGGTTTTAAATGTTTTTAAAAGTTTTAAATTGGCTTGAAATTTTTGGGTGTTACAAGTCAATCTCTCTTTTATTTCACATCAGCTTTGTGAAAAATTGAATGTGGTGTTTTAGTTATACATATATGAGTTTTATTGTTGGTGAATTGTCTTTTGCGAAAACATAAAGGATGTGTGAAATCTCAACTTCCTTTTTGTTCTAAGTTTACTATTGAATTTAGAAAGATTGGTAACAAAATTATGTTGTTGTTTATTGACATGAAAAGGTGAAAGAAATAGCATGTAGAAGAATTTTGATGTAACGTCCCAAAAATCAGAGTAAAAATTTTCATTTTAAAACACAAATCTATAAATCCACAAGTTACCAAAACATTATTTGCAAATCATAATAAGTCAAAATATCGAATCAGAGTATTAATCGCCATAAACTGCGAGATGATGTGTAAAATCACGCATTTGCTTTTCCCTGCTCATCAAAAGTATCTGAAACATTGAGATCCAAATTGTAAGCCAAAGCTTTGTGAGCTTCCCAAAATACCCTACAACACAAACAAATACATATACAATACAAGCACGCATACAGGGTTTGTTGGTCCTTGACTTCAACCCAATCATATCAGGTTTGTTGGTTTACAGCACAGAGCATTAAAACCTCAACCCAATCATCCAAGGTTTATTGGCACGTGGCCTCAACCCAACAATCCAGGTTTGTTGACTCTCAGTCTCAATCCAACCATACCGAATTTGTTGGCACGTGGCCTCAACCCAACCGTCCATATGTTGACATATACACAAACAAAGCACACATGGAGCTATCATAGCAATCCTACATCTTAGGATATATATGAATTTAATAAGTGGGTCAACATTGGTGCCTTAGACCCATTAGCATAGTGAGAGAACTCTCCTCTCAGTCTGAACAAAAGCTGAAATAAATCTCAGCTCCAAATACCAGCTCTACCCGACACCTATTATTCAAAATATTGCCCAGCTTAAATTAGTACCAAATTTCCCAAAATACCCTTTGGTTACAATTGGTCAAACTCAACAAACCAGTCGATTCAACCCAGCCAACTTGATCCGGCCTCATACACAGGGATTACTCAATTGCTGACCAAAAAACAGGGCTTGGCCTCATACGCACGATGTACCATGTGGTACATCCAGCGTATGCATCTGGATGCTTCCCCAACTAATTAAGTACTTAATACTTAATCCCTTATGTATCCAAGTCTCAATTG